CCCCACCCCCCGCCCCGCCCACGGGCCTGCTTTGCCCTGCTCCAGAGCCAACATTGTGATGCCTGTACCAGCAGCTACAGCCTCACCAGGGCAACAGCCAGTAGTTTTGACAACGGCATGAAATTAAGGGGATGGGAAAAAGGGAATCCTATGCAAGCACTCCTCTTCTTCACAGAAAACCAGGCTCGTATTCCTGAACAGCCCGCAGGCAAAGCAGCAGCAAAGAAAAAAAAAAAAAAAAAAAAATCTCATTTGCATGTACTGTGCTATATGACTTTAATTGTGAGATATGACTCAGGTAGATTTAATCCAGACATTTTGCTGAAGTCTTTTGTAGGAGAGCTCATCAGCCAGGCACTGCCCGATCAAGCACGCTGCTTCTTGCTTAAATCCAGGGCACAAGAGGAGATGAGCTCATATTAAAAAAAGAAGAGGTCAAGAAAGGTGACGGTCCCTCCTGGGCAGGAAGCCTCTTTTCATATGCGTCAGGAAGTGCTACATTCACACATATGGAACTCTATAAATAAGAAACAAGTTAAACGCTCTTGTCACTTGAGCATCCTAGAGCTTTAAAGTCTATTCACAACCACTGCTGAAAAGCTAAGAAACGCTCCGAATATTTTTCTCAAGAAGTTGTCTACCTTGGTACCCCTTAAAGTAGAAGGCATATTAGGACCAACACAGGCAGCATCTGTGCCACCCTTGCCTTGTGACAGTTACGCTGATGAGAAATTGCAATAAAACTGAGGGAAGGTCTGTTTTATTTCATGCTGTGTTTGCACAGTGCCTTGCGTAACGGGTCCTCATCCATGGCTGGGTTGGTGAGCTGGAACCAACGCAACAGTCACCTGGCGTCCTCAGATGCAGGAAACTTTGGTGGAGACCTTCAGAAAAAGGCAGACTACACATGGCAGACTATGAAATGCAAATGTGGTCGCACTTCCAGTCTGCAAATTTTCCTCAGCTCAAAATCTCAATCTGAATTTATTTTCACGGAATTTTTTTATGGCGTAGGTCGCACATCAGTCATGTGATTGTAGTGTCTGATCGAAGATGCATGAAGGATTCTCAAGTAAAACGTAAGTGAACCCAAGCCCTCAAGACAGTAAATTCAAAACTGCTGACAGACGCTGCTATTTGAGTACAAGGTACAAAACCACGTGCGCTCCAGCTCTGCCTCTGCTCTTCAAATCAAAGTATGTATTTAAATATGTCATCTTGCAAGCTAGGTGGAGGAATTCTGATCAGTCAAAAAGGTTTAATTTTCCTTTTTTTCCCCTATCTCCAGCAATTCCTTGCAGAGCTGCCAAACATATGCAAGTGTTAAAGAGCACTGAAGCACTCCACAACCCCACTCCCTTAGAACGGGGACCCAAGAAACATCTGAGCTTTCAGAAACCCAGAGGCAAAGAGACTTACAGGCAAATAACCATTTGCTAATTATACTTCCAGGACCGATGCTATTGAAAAATGTGGTCATCCCTCAGGCCATGTTTTCTCAAAATCACCAAGGATGTGAGAAAGCAGAGTTTATTTCTCAAGTTTTTACCCTCCTCTGAATCTCATTTCAGAATGAAAAAAGGAAGTATCTTTCAAGCAGCCACAAGGACGTATTTTCACATTTTACATTTATTATTCAAATGAAATGTGATAAATGCTTAGCTGCTGTTCCCACAGAACCCAGTTCAATTTACGAGTTGCTCCCCACAAAAGCTTTGTGACAGCATGGTCTTTTGCTAAGGATAAGCAGTGTGTCTGGAGAATATTTATTTATTTATTTATTTTAAATTAAGGGCAAGGAAAACGCATGGTTTTAAAAACAAGAAAATACAAATCAAAATTAAGTAAGGAGGCACTATCAGAAGAGTAGCATTGTACACCGGACAGAAAACACTACCTCCTATTTCTCTTATTTACGGCTCAAGAGCATGATAAAAATATATTTCCCTAGACACAAATTATGCATAAAAAAAATAAATGGATATGTGGCTGAAACAGTGCTTACATGTCTGAATCCATATGTCAACAAACAATTTTTATGCGCACACTAACACTTAAATGTATAATTAGGTAGACAATTTGCACACTATTCATCAAGAATGGCTGGGGCTGACACGAATCACACCCATTCCAGCACAACTGCTGCTGGCATGGATGCAGTCTTACACTCGACCACAATTTCAAAAGCCCATTTTTCAGCAAGACATTGACTTTGATTTCTGTCTCAGCTTAACCGCCCACTGATGTCATTCTCATTTTGGGACAACAGCATTCAACCCACTGTAAATATGATCAGTGAGCGACCCTGTACACATGAAACAGATTGTGTCTGACAAGGCATTTTATAGGAACCTAGCTGAAGAGCAAACCTGCCTCAAAATCCCAAGCAGTAATAGAGATGACTGAATTTAATTTCATAATTAATTTATTCAGGAGGGGACTGGTTTACATTCTAAACAAGGGTCTCCCCTGCTACATTAAAATGGGGGGGACAGGACACAGGCAAGAAATCTCAAGAACAAGATCAGATCTCACTTTCCCTTTCCTACTCCGTTCGAAAACGAACCCTGTGGTGGACTGCACACTTAACTTCAGAATGTAAAGAACATCTCCGTACTGCAGCGATGGAGGTTTGTAAACCTGCAGATCAGCTGGTGGCACGACCAGGTCCTAGGGTGCAGGTAGTGTGCACGAACTGAAAACACCAGGTCTAAGTCATCACCAGGCAAGCACAAGTGAGAAACAGATCTGTTGTTCCCTTCCCCCAATTTGTTCTCGCTTAAAAATAACAAGATGTTCAAATCCAAAGCCCCCTCGTTTACAAGAATCACAGTTTGACTGCAGATGTTTTATCTTCCTTGTTCATCATACAAACCACTCTTGACCTTGTGCAATAATTGCTTGCTTTTCACTCACAAGCTGCTATTTACATTCAGGGTTGTGCTGCTTTGATCACTGAGCCATTTGTAACAAATGCCTTCTAAGATGGATAGTGATAAGTAGGACAGTCCCCTGTTTTCATTCATGATTAATATCCAAAATAGCTGTAGAAACATTTTAATCAAATCAGATGAGAGGAGACAGGTTATCTCTGCTACCCAAAGGAACCTCAAGGAAGCCTGCTAAGAATTTATTATGTTGAACAAGGAGGGAAGAGAAAGGGTAGCACTTGGGTCTCAGGCTTCAGAGGTCACAACTGAAGTAGTCCCTGCAGCAGCAGCCCTGGCAATCCAGCTGGGACGGCAATACAATCTTCTCCCGACCACATCTGCAGGGGTTCCCAAACTGCAACCTGCTGAGGACCCCCAGCACAGAGGCTGCAGCACATTACCTGCGACTGATCTGACAAGCCATCTACAGGCTCACTGGGGAGTGGTGACTCCAGCGCCTATGGCAGCATGGGATGGCCAGGCGAGGAGCGCTCCAGCAGACACTCTGGAAAATCAACAACTTCTGCATCGTAAGACTGACAGCATTAGAAGACCATGGTTTTGCCCGACAGATTTACAATTGCAGACACTCCCCTTGGACACTTCATGGGTTTTGTTCACTTCCCATGAGCTCCATGGTAGAATGCAATTCTTTGTCTGTATATCATCCAGATCAATCAACTCTCACCTCTAGCCATTCACGGAATAAAAACTCCCTGACATTTTATTGTGGTGGGTCATGTCTGCAAGAG